GCATTGGATAATTTATGCCCTGATTTCTTGCTCGTTAAACCTGTATCGTCCTGTTCTTTCTAAAATTGGTTTACTTCTGTATGTTTTTTTAAAAAGAAATAGCTCTTTAAATACTATTTTCTTAAGATTACTTAAATGACTAGAATATAATTTCTCAGAAATGTAATTTGCTGAAGATATTTTGAAGATTTAAAAGTTCTCTTGCCATTTTCTTTGATGTTGTCTTTGTTTGTAAAAAAATGTTTAACAGATTTTTTTTTTCCCAGCACGTTATAATATTTTCAGAAAAAGCTGTTTTCTGAAATAAGCTGTTTATAAAACAGAGAGGCCCAGCAACTACATGAACTACTTTTCGAAAGTCTCTTAAAGCAGCACTTTGAATCGTTAGCATATTGTTATATTTTTAATACTAAAACAGTGGATTGTAAATGTTGTACAAAATATTAAAGGTGGCACTGGATAAAAAAAAAAAAAAGAAAAAACAAAAACAATTGTTTTCTCTTCCCCTATTTTGCATTATACAGTGAACATTAAATGCCTGGTTAATACATCCACTTTCAAACCTGTGTGCTCTGCACGATGAAAGGGAAGAAAATGCATCCTCTGTTACAGGTGTATTACCAAAACCTGGTTCAAATCAGTAAATAAGCGTAGTAATATCAACTGATGGTGAGCCATTGAAATGAAGAGCTTGTTCAATTTATATTCATATTACTATTCTGGTGTCTTTTCTAGGTCTTATTCTTCTTAATGTCAACTGGTATGTTTAAGAGAAAATGAACTGACCAGGCAGCAGTGCAGCGTTGTAGAAAGGGCAGAGCCTTAGGACTGAAAATATTTGTCAATAATCTTTCTTTTTACCTTTTTCCTAAATCAAGCACTTGCATTCACATCAAGACTTTATCTTTCCAAGCTCAATAGATTAACTCTATGGTAGTCTACCTAGACTTCAGCAAGGCCTTTGACATGGACTCCTGTCGTATTCTCCTGCGGAAGCTGGCAGCCCATGGCTCGGACAGGTACAGTCTCTGCTGGGTTAAAAACTGACTGGATGGCCAGACACAGAGAGTGGCGGTGAATGGAGTGAAATCCAGCTGGCGACCAGTCATCAGTGGTGTTCCCCAGGGGTCGGTGTTGGGGCCCATCCTCTTTAATATCTTTCTTAATTGATGACGGGGATGAGGGAATTGAGTGCACCCTCAGTAAGTTTGCAGATGACACCAGGTTGGTGAAAGTGTCAGTCTGACGAAGAGTAGGAAGGCCTGGCAGTGTGCCCAGGTGGCCAAGAAGGCCGACGGCACCCTGGCTTGTGTCAGGAGTAGTGCAGCCAGCAGGGCCAGGGAGGTGATCGTCCCCCTGTGCTCTGCTCTGGTGAGGCTGCACCTCAAGTGCTGTGTTCAGCTTTGGGCCCCTCACTACCAGAAGGACACTGAGGCCCTGGAGTGTGTCCAGAGAAGGGCTACGAAGCTGGTGAAGGGCCTGGAGCACAAGGCCTGTGAGGAGTGGCTGAGGGAACTGGGGGTGTTTAGTCTGGAGAAGAGGAGGCTCAGGGGAGACCTCATTGCTCTCTGCAGCTACCTGAAAGGAAGTGTGGGGAGCTGGGGGTTGGCCTCTCCTCACAGGTAACTAGTGATAGGACTGGAGGGAATGGCCTTGAGTTGCTCCAGGGGAGGTTCAGGTTGGCAATGAGGAGACATTTCTGCTCAGAAAGAGCAGTCAGGCACTGGGACGGGTTGCCCAGGGAGGTGGTGGAGTCACCGTCCCTGGGGGTGTTCAAGGAGAGGCTGGACGTGGTGCTTGGGGACATGGCTTAGTGGGTGACACTGGTGGTAGGGGATGGTTGGACCAGGAGATCTCAGAGGTCTCTTCTAACCTTTATGATTCTATAATTCTTCTTTCTTCTTATACTTTGTTGTTATGTTTTGTTCTTTATTCAAAACCTGACTTTAAGTATACACAGGAAAAGTTGAGCCAAACTGTTGAAACATTTCCTGACAGGGTAAGAATATCTAATTTTGTTTTATCGGATCAAATTCTTAATCGGTTTAGCCCAGCGTCAAGTCTCTAACACATTAACACCCTGCCCTGAAAATGCCTCATGCCACGTGCAGGCTGATCTGATTCCCAGCACAGTTTGCTAATCCTGAAAAGGTTAGGCCTGGGATGCCATCTAGAATGCATTGTTTTATTTCTAGTGTCTCTTTTTTAGGATTTACATTTACAGTGACTTATTGTCTCCTTTGTCACCATGAGGCTACTCCTTGAAGCCCGTGCTGGAGGCTGGTTTTGGCTCCTGATACCTGGAGCATTGCCCCTGGTGCCTGTTTAACTCAGAGTGACAAAAAGGCTTCTGCAGCTGGGGGGGGAGGGTCTGTGCCCTGCTCCTCTCAATCCCTTAGCCTCTTACACTGATGCTCACATTAGCTAATGTTTCCTTCTGAATTTCAGGCATATCTGAGGCATGTCCAACAGCTTTCTGACATTTCCCAGCCTGCTGTGATGGAAGTCTCAATTTGGTTTGTGAATTCCCCGCCTGAAGGTGAGAATGGAGAAGTTACAGCCATCATCAGCATCGCTGTACCCAAATTTCTCTCCCCTGATGGAGAGCTCGGTCCTTTTGTGTTTGAGTCCTCACTCCTGTGAATGAAACATCCTGGCAGCCTCTCATCAGAGGGTGCCAAGTCCCAAAATGGATGCCATATAAATAGCTTCCTCCAGTTACACTCTTCCACGCATTCCTCTTGTACCAGATTTTCGGCTCTGATGACTGCAAAATGTAGATGTGCAGATGGCTCAGAAAGTGCCTTTTACTAAACACAGAACTTTATTTATATTCAATAGCTTAAAACCAGAATCAATCAACACTGCACTTGTTTTTTTTAAACCTGAAGACATACATGGAAAAGCCATTAATAGAAATTGTGGAAGCTGGCTTTTATTATTAGATGATTATTTTGTACCTTTACCAGAGATGATGGGTCTATGCAGATGAAGATATATAAAAAGACAGGCATAAAAAGGCTTAAAAAGACAGATGCTGAGATGCAGTAAGGTATCAGATGACGTAAAACCTGTCCTCTCAAAGAAGCCTCCCAAAAACCTCTTCTCCCACTCTGTAACCTGCACTCACTTTCACAGATCTGGCTGTTGCGTGCCAAATCATTTTCAACTCCATCACCTTAGCTCTCACAGCTATGTACCTGTCCATGCTTTTCACCATGTACACCGTCTTATGTATTTATACAGTGAAGTTGGTTCCAACTACAGAAATAACAAGCACATTTTGGTGGCTGATAGGAGCTCTCTTGCTTATTTGCACTTACTTATTTGCAGTCACCTATGTCATATGTACACTTCGGATGACTGCACGTTGGACTCTTCCCAGCTGTCACGGGTACAGCTCTGCTTTAGTTCTTACATTGCTGCATAGGGGTCATGCTGGTGACTAGATCAAGCCCTTGGTGGTTGTGTTATGGCATCGCCTACACACTTCGGTTTTCTTTGAAGCCATGGATGGACTTGAAGCTCTACTGGAGCGCTTTGCTCCAGCTTCTACAGAGCAACTCTGCTGCTGCTGCTTTCCAGCCAGCCTTAGAAGAGCTACTAAGTAGAATGAGGTGGCTGTGGCAGCCAAGACCTACCACAGAAGCATGAGGATTGGCATTACTACAGCAATTAAAACATCATCTCAACCCAGTCTTGTTGTAAATCACAGCTGCATCCAAGATTCTCCTGGCAGAACCACTGCAAATTCTAAAAAGTTTTGGTTGTAAAGGAGGGACTCCATATAAACCAGTTTTTTGGTTAACTTTGGATAACTTATTGTGTGAGTTATCATGGTTATGCATTCAGGATGCATCCTTCTACTTCTGGTTTCCGCTCCCCAGCCACTTGCTGCAGATCCACTTGTGCCGGCCACGAGTTGTACAAATCCCACCCTCCCTGCAGGAGCATCTCTGCCCTGACCCAGACTCTGCCAGGAGCAGGGACTGTTTCAGCCTCTCTGTATGGCGTGAACATGGAGGTGACGTTTGGGGAGGCATCTCAAAACAGATTGCAGAACACCACCGTTCTCATAGAGGGCTTCTCGGAAAGAACCACACACACACCACGGTGCTTTCTTGTCATCATAAATATCTTTATTGTGAAAAATACCATAAAATAATTCCCGCAGTTCTAGAAAAAACAGTTCTTGCTTTTTAGACTTATGATTTATATAAAGACATTTTAATCACTTGAGACATTTGATAAATCTCTGGCTAACTTGACTTATCCTTCTTACAACACAGAACTGCTACTTTGAATTTTGCAGTGGGCAAAAGAAAAAGATTCTCCCATTTTTAACTTCATGGATAAAATTATGCATTACAGAGCAAACAAAAGATACCTTACGATAAGGCACTTTTAAATACAACTAACCCGCTATGCTGTACTGGCTGATGTCCAGCAAAGCTCCTACAAATCACAGCCCTAAACAGAAGAATAATTCTTATTCCAAACACTGGTCTGGAAACTGAAATAACAACAAGCTCTTATGTTGAAAATTATCTTTAAGCTAACAGATTTTCCGCGCATGTCACAAGTTTGAGCTCTTAAGTTTATAATTCACTCGGAATCTGTTTGAATACTGATCCATGAACACATCAGTATTAAGCACACCTCAAGTAAAATGCATCCCCCCTTTAGTTTAAAACGAGTCGGAAACTAGTTCATAAAAACTGCAAGACAGGATTCAGCATGGAAAGTCTGCATCTACACGTAGGCCAATCGCCGTAATGCTGCTTCATGCACACCTCGGGCTTCACGAACTACCAAGACATTTACTTCAATGTTCAGTTGCTGAACATTATTGCACTACAGACACCCATTATAAATAAAAAAGGCAAGTTCAGTTTCCTTGTACATAGCTTGCACCATTGACAGTGTGTCACCAGCACTTGGTTTTTCTGTAATTGCATCACGAACTGCATCACTGTAGCTGGAAATCCTTGAAATATAAGTTTTTTAAGAAAACAAAAACAACTTCATTTTTTGTGTTTTCAGAAGTACCTTAAAGCCAGCATCTGCTCCTTTAAGAAGTGGTAACATTTACAGTGGTCCAACAGCTGCTGAGTATCAGAAAGCCTTATTCTCGATCAAGTTTTTTTCCTTTATTTTCAAGGCACTCTTCCACAGAAGGAATCTCTGAACAGCATTCAAGCATGAATCTTCCACTGCCTAGATTCAAGCTGTTTTCCCCTCCCCTCCAGACACATGATCTTCCCCTTCCCATTCATCATAAGAATTAAACATAATCCTTTTTGTTCCCGACTGCTTCTCGTGTACCCATTTGTCCACTGCCTTAGAAAGCAGTGAATATGCACGGCTCTAACATCAATGCCTTGTGTGAATAATTCACTTATGAGGGGCCATCTGACTCCTTCCCTAAAGGGAAAAGGGAAACTGCATGCTTCTCTCAGCCATAGTTTTTAAAACAGAGGATGGGAAGAGAGAAGGACAAAAAGCTGCAGAAGGGTAGTCCTTTAAAACGCAGCATTTTTAGCACTTCTCTGGCACACGAACTTAGCTGTCTGGAATTTACTGTGACTTGTTGAAGCTGACCACCACCCCTGAATGTCCAAAATTACAGCATTTTGCTCACAGTGGTCGTTCAACAGCATTTCAGAACCAGCCCCTCCTGTAGCGAGCAAGGCGATGCCAAAATGTTTCTGCAGAGCCCTGCCTGCACAGGACAAGTGACCATGGACACAGGAGAGCACTGGCAGCAACCAGCAGGGCTGGAGCCCTGGGGGTCCGAGGGGAACCACACTGACCTTAGAAGGGCACAGCCAGCATCTGCAGCATCTTCTGCAGGGTTTAAAGAACATTTCAGACAGGTCAAAAGCAGAAGCCAACTTCCAGGAGTCATTCGGCTTGGAAAATACCTGACGCTGGGGTTTCACAGGCTGCTGGGGCGTGTTTGTACCAAAAGCTGTCAGGAACCACCACACGCGCTCCTCAGCTTGAAGACAAATCTCTGCCGACCAAACACTGACCTCTAAATCACTGCTGAAAAATCTGCGAGGCCTTGTGGCTTGGTAAAAATTGTGTTTGTGAAGTACTTGAGGCAGGAGACAAGTTATACTTCAAAATCCCTTGCAGATGGAAGGCTTTATTTGCTTTGACCGTGGCTGCATTCTAATAAAGTGGGTGCTGGTGAAACTTGCCAGTAGCTTCGGTGTATTCAGCTACAAAACGAGGAGACTTCATCTCTTGTAGCAGCTCCAGCCCTGGCAACGCCCCTCAGCTCACACAGCTCCATCAGCGCACGAGCCCAGCTTGAGCCGCGGGCATATGGGAAGAATAAACCCGAAATGAAGTTGCATTAAATGGGGAAGACTCCAGTTCGTATTTTATTCCTGCAGTTCTCACACTCGCCTCACAACCTGGGTCGACCGAGTTTTACAAGTACAGAGAAGAACCAAACTGCTGCGCAGCTGGGGGAATGTCACATCACACTGCTTTGCTCAGATCTCAAGCAGATACTTTGTTAAAGTGCAAACTACTCAGAAATGATACCTAAAACATTCCAAATCACAGAAACAGTCTTCAGAAAAAAATAACCACCAAACAGGTGTATTGTGTGTTTTGTTGTTTTGTTTTTTTTCCTCCAACTTCCATATTTGACAATTGCTGCCAAGGAAATCATCTCAATTTCAGGTTAACGAGTAAAGTGAACAGACATTTTCAGACATTGTTACTTACAAGTGATCTTCTTTAAAAGATTGTTCAGGCTCACTCAGCCTCCTCGCTCTGCCTATGGCACCGCCGTCAGTAATATAATACAACAGGTGGTCGCTGGGGTTTCCTTTAAACAACACTGAGAAAGGGATCGTCCTAACGATGTGATAACGTAGAGACTACCGCAACTACCCGCTCCACGTTTATTAGGCCCGGATTCAGAGCAATATTTACATGCATTTTTACCTTTAAGCATATAATCGAGTCCTAAAGATGCGTTTAAGTGTTGCCCTGAATAGCCTCTTACTGTTTTCTCCACCCAAAGGAATGAACAAATGTCTCCTGTGCATCCACAACAAACACAGGGGCTGTAACAAAACCCTTGCTCAACCTCCCCCCCACCAGCATAAGCTCGTCAAGCTCGCCACAAAGCAAACCCTTTGAGCACTAAAAGAGAGAAGGAGCTTTCTTCTAGTGCCGTAAGACTCTGGGATAAGGACAACATTAGAAATTAAGATTTTGGGGTCTGGTACTGAGAGAGTTTTTATTTTCTTTGAACGAATTAAGTAAAAAACAGCAGCAGCCACCCGAAAACAGTCCTGGCTCTAACTGAAGTGAAATTTGAATGTAAATGGTCCTCCTCCCGAGCCGAAGGGGTTGAATCCTTGCCACGTGTTCCAGTTCCTGTGGAAAGGGTTGCCCCCACCCTGCTGACTCTCCGCGTCCAGTGGGTCCTCTCCTGCGTCAAATTTCCGCCTCATTTCTGAAAGAAGAAAAAACAAGGTGGAACAGTGGCACTGCAGGCAGGACAGCAACGCAACAGTGTCTTTGAAGACCAAAAAAGTTGTTTGGAACCACCCCTAAAACAGAGAACTGCTGTTATCACTTATATTGGCAGCATTTGGAGGAACCTGTTTAATTCCTTCTGAGTTTCTCAAAGCTCTCCAGGACACTGGCAGAGGAGAAAAGCCTCCAGCCCTGTGAGAACCCTGTACTAAGGCCTTCAAATAAATCATTTAGTTTAACACAAGGCAAGCCAGTACCTGGCTGTCCAACAGAACACGCTGGAATTTCAAAAGTCAACACTTGGAGCAGCTGAGTCCCACCATTTCTCAAAAATGGTTAAGGGGAGAGCAGAAAAAGGGAACCTGATATGTTTGTTAAAAATGCAGCAAGTGTCAGATATAAGGTCCCAAAAAAGGTCATAAAGTAAAGTAACTTCATAAGAGCAAGCCTTACCCGGGTCAGTAAGAACTTCCTTAGCAGCTGCTATATCAATGAATTTTTTCTCTGCTTTCTTCTTTTCTTCCTCGCTCTGGAAGTTGTCAGGGTGCCACTGGGACGCCAGCTTTCTGTACGCTTTTATGATCTCCTGCTTTCTGGCGTTTCTGGATGGATAAAGTTATAGGTTACTTATAAGCCTTCTAAGTGTGCATGTGCCACACTCCTCAATCTACTCGTTTATTTTAAACACTGGAAAAGTAATTAAGGGCATCAAGAGAATTACGAGATCCTATTTAACCTTCTTAAGGTGATGTTGGACATCCATACAAATACAGAGGAAGGAGGCTGTAGCTTTAAAGACTCCTCTTTGTTTCACTATCTATTTACTCTCTTTGGAAAGGTGCTACTACAGCAGTAGAGTTCCCAGTCTGAAGGATTCACAGTAAGGTGAGACAAAAAGCACAGAGCAGGGATTGAATTAGTTCTCAGTTAGGAAGATGACCGATACTGGTTCAGAACTGAACATTTGTTTGGTTCTCTTTACAAAGAGCAGCTGTCAGGTTTTCTAGGCAGAAGCATTTCAGATACCTCTTTCATTCAGTCCTTTCAAACTCTCCTGATCCATCATCACATCTGCTACAATTTTATTTTTCTTGCTTTAAGTAATTCTTCCCAGTCCTTATTTCTTCCCCTGGTCATTCACCTTACTTTCGATCATCCATACCAAAGATTTCTTGCCAAGGCATTTACTTCCTTCATTCCCAGTGGTAGTTTCTACTCTGTCTTTCTCAATAAGTTTTAAACAAATGCCACTTAAAAGCTGAACACTGCTCACCTAGTGCAGTAGAAAAGTGAAGGTAGTAAGACATGAACAAAAAATAAGCAGCAGAACAAATGCAAGCGATCAGCTTGCTAACATATTATAGTTTAATAGCATCCACGTCATCGTCTCAGATATGAATGTCTCACCTTTTTACTCCTAAAATTTTATAGTAATCTCTCTTCTGTGATTGCTTCAACATCCGCTGGGCTCGTTCGAGCCCCTCCCGAATCTGCTGGTCATTTTCACTGTTGGCTTGAGCAGTTTCGTAGTCTTTAATAGCTTTGTGAAAGAAGAAAATGGAAAAAGCATGACATAACTCCTCACAAACTTCAACAAGAACTCAAACACTCTGCAAAACTGAAGTTTTGCTGTTACCACTTATAAACAGAGGAACTTGAACTTGCCAAATGTGCTTTTTGCAAATTAGAAAACGCTAGGGCAGAGGAGGTTCTCGTTCACATATAAATGAGGTACTTTTCTTTCTTTAGATTCACTGCACTTTTTGGAAAGGGAGGAGAAGAGAGGTTGTTAGCAGCCAGTCAGAACGCTCTTCGAGATGCTAGAGTCCTAGGGACAAACATAACGAGCAGCCAGACTGGGACAGAAGAGGAATGGAGAAGTTTCAGTGTGCAGTAACTGAAGAGCCAGCTGCACAGCGTTAGTCCCATACATTGCTGTGCATTTGCCATTGTACACAATCTTTACATTAAGGTTCCTTCTCCCAGCACGTGCACTCAACCCAACAGAAAGCAGAAAGTCTCTTTAACAACAAGGACGCCAGATTTCACATTACCAAGTAAATGCATGTATGCAACACCACAATTACGACACTTAGTGAAAGACAAATATTCTCTTTTGATGCCTCAATATCAATATACTCCGCAGACAGCTTCATTTTAAGCTTTGGGTGTTCTGTCGTTGTGTCCCCCCACTACCCCAAAGGCACGCTTTCATCCCTGGCAAATGCAACTCTTGAAATAAAAGCAGGAGAGCAAGGGAGGTGCCGCGCTGCACTCGTGAATGTTGAGGAGATCTCATTTCTAGACCTTTTTTGACATACACCATGTTATTACTGTAAGTGGTACCCCAATGCTTAAGACACCAATTTTAGGTATTCTTTGATACTGAGATTTATCAAGGGAGGCAACTGTTGAAGCCTTTAATGAGCCTACTCTTCTTTCACTGCCGTAATCCTCCAAGTCTCATCTGCAGATCCAAGTCTCCCAGGTTTCTCGAGTCAGACAAAGCACTCGCAGCAGATTATTTCCAAGCAGATGCTATTTCTCAGCAGGTGTTACATTTGTTTTCCACTGTTTCTGAGCAAGACAGCAGGAAGTGCTAATGAATCCGTGCTATTCAGACATCTGATTCCACCGCAATCTTGTTTTGGTTATTGAAAAAAAAAAGATAATCCAAGCAGCATTTCCAGTGCCCCAACAATTTCATGTTCTGTTACAAGCAAAACTGAATTTCTGCTCATTTTCACATCACCGGATGCTGTTACTTGCTGCTGGAACAAAACATCCTGCTTCTGGATGAGACTTTTAACAATTACACTAATGCACGTGCCTAATAGATACTGCTGGAACTGATAGAAATGAAAGTGGAGCAATTTTGTTATGCTGTTTTATCACCCCAAGACTTTTTCTCTCTCTACAGCATGCCCCACAGCTGGCAACGACGCTGCTTAAGGGGCAAATATTTCAGAGCTGAGCTCTGTCCACACGTGAGGGGTGGGACCAGGCGCTTTTGGAGCAGGGTGACAGCTTCCTGATGACAAAAATAGTTAGGAGAGCAGGAGACTTGCTACTAATTCCAGGTATGCTGAGTGAGGTATTTAATCAGCTGCTCTCAGCCACTGTTTCTAGAAGCACTGATGCCTCCCAAGCTTACACAAGAATCACCCTTTCTTCTGACTGGCCTGCTGCTTCAGACCAACTCTGTCAGAGCAGTACTGAAGCTGTAATGCTCACAGGAACAGGGCCTACCTCCTGCACCGTCGCAGGGTGGGGAGATGAAACGTGTCCTGAGCAATTCTGAAGCAGCAAATGCTTCTCCTTCCTCTCTGGAAGAACTTGTGCTGGATACTCGATAGACTAACAGACTCCTGTACTTACAGGGAGGTGCCAGGAAGGGATTCATTACACATCTGTCTTCACAGACAAGCCCTGGATCCCGTGTGATTATGAAGTAATTAAAGGCATTTAATGGGAATCAGGGCTCAGCTATACATCCTCAAGTGCATCTTGAGCATTTGACAATGATCTCCTTCAAAGTTTTCAATGATAAGCACTTGGAGATTTCCTGTCCTTAAACAGGACGTAGGTGCCTCCCGCTTGGGGTTTCATTCAGGGGAGAATCAATTTCCCACTTTAAATATGAGGCTGGGATTTTAATTACTCAACTGCTCCCTACAGCAGGGAGAAGTCAGCCCTCACTTCACAGCAGCTGAAGCTGAAGAGTGGGGGAAGCGTTGTATAAAGGTCCTTAGATGTTCTCAGAAACGCTGCTGTCTTCCACCCTTTCTTACAAGGAGGGGGATTTGCCAGCCTCAGCAGCAAAGGCCCAGGACTAGGTCACTTCTGGAGCACCAAGTCTACAAGGCTGCTAAGAAGGGCTGCCTGAAGCCATTCCAGTCCTCCTTACACCTTGTTTTCAAGCGTTTGAGTCAAGAAGATCAAGAAAAAATAAAATAGATCTCACTTGTGACATTTACTTCAAGAGGTGAGCAATATCATCTGATTCATTTCCTCAGACAAAAATCTGAGCATGCCATTGCTGGGAGCTGCTGTCTCCATGTTTAAACTGAGTGGTTTTTGGTTCAGTCATGAAGCTGAAGCCCCAGAACACAGAAAAGGGAAGTTGTTCTAGGAGAATTAAAATTAATGGAGCTGGTTTTCCAGCAGATTTAAAGCCTGTGAGTCCTCTCCTTTATTGCATTTCACTGAAGCAGCCCAAGGCTTCCTAAACTGCTGCATGAGTGAGCACAGCAACAGACAGATTGCTCAAGTCTCTTTCTTAAGCCCAGTTCCTCGTGGAAATGAGATTTGCTAAATTAAATTTTGAAGATTTTTATAGTGCACGAGCACTTAGTACTCTTCAGGAAGCTGCAAAACAACATAGTGGTGTACTTAGACACCGATTACTCAGTCCCTGTTTTCCAAGGCTGCGTATGCACCGAGCACCAGCCCCGTGGTTCTTGGTCTTCTGGGAGAGGAGGAATGGCCAGCGGGTCCAGCACAACCCCAAAAACATCCCTGGCTGGAAGATGTGGGGTGATGGCACACGGGTGTGTTTTGGGGGAGGCAGCACTTGAAGATTCATCCTTCCCTTTTGTTGCTTCCCTGCTCTACAGCACAAGAAATGCAGTGTCAAGAACAGAATCAGTTTACTGCTCTTGGCAGCATTACAGAGACCCAGGGAGGTGAAACAGTGGCCTCCCCTCCTCTACTCTGAGCACACACTAAGGTACAGGACAGCCTTGTTTCATTCTGTTATCTAAGGACATTCAAAGGAAGCTCCTAAAATGGGCTTACATGACCTAACCATAATTACCTTTTGTCTATAAATGCTGCTCTGGCACTACTGTTTATATAAAACGTGTTTAAGTCTGAATAAGCTGAATGCTCTCATAAAGGATCCTGAACACAGCCCACTGTTGTAAAGAACACTCTAGCTAAAACAAGTGCACACCACTTATACTAATCAAGACAAAATTAACGGCAGATATTTTTGTAAATGTGCTACTACCAGTGCTGATTAGGGATAACAACGTAGTGTGGAATCAAAAGTGCATGTTAAAAATTTCTGAGACACTAACTGCATTTTAAGTGCCCACCAAAAGGCAGGAACAAGATGCATACAACCCTACCTTCTTCGTACAGGTCTTCCAGCAAATAAGCTTCTGCTCTGTCTTTCAGGGCGTTCACGTTGGTTGGTTCCAGTTGCAGAACTTCTGTACAAACTTTTATGGCTTCTGTAGCCTGCTGATTCTAAAGAGGAGAAAGGAAAATCAAGTTCATGGGTGGAGTTCTTTGTTTTGCTTTTACAGAAATTTGGAGAGGCAAGTGGAAGCAAGAATTACCTTGGACAAACAGTGACAGATCCTTTCTTTGGCACGAGTAGCATAAATTGGGACATCTCGCTCAGTTTTCATAACAGAGTCATATTTGTTGATAGCATCTTCATACCTGTTTTAATTACAGAGCACACTATTACGAAATGTAATAACTACTTTGGGCTGCTGCAACTTATTTGCAGATGTTGAAATCTTAAAATCCAGATTTTCCCATCCTCCAAACAACGTACCTTGGCTGTAAAGGTCTCAAAGGCATGATGGGAGGCAACACTGTGAAAAAACTTTCAACCACTTTAAGCATTATATTCCTGCTCCCTCTCCTGTGCTTCAAAACAGAAGAGCAGGCACTGTGCCTAGCAGGCTTTTGTAGAACACCATGACTGCATTCCCAGAGAGCATACCAACAAGAGTGTCTAGATTTGCTTCCTGCCCAATATCCCATTCAGCACTTCCAAAAAAAAAAAAAGCTTCTCTAGTTTTGACATTCGAGATGGACTAAGTCTGTCCTGGCATGAGCACCATCCTAATTGCCTTTTGTGGTGCCAAAAAAAAACAACTTATGCCAGTTTGAACCAGGAAGTTGTTTTCTCCCTATATTCTTTTCAGCAAGCCATGTAGCAAAATGTATTTTTGCTGTGAAGGTTCAAAGACACTCAAGTTCTACAGTTAATAAGAAACAGACTTGAACGCTCACCTAGGTATGCAACTGTGTGATTGAACTCAGGGACTGCTACAAGCTAGAAGAAATTCAAGCTCTCGGAAGAGTCCCTGAAAATGTGCTGATACTGAATTAAAGAGAAAACTAAAGTGAGAAAAGCCCGAGTGGACTGCTGACTTAATAAAACAGCCTTCAGTTGTGCTGATTCACTTCTCCTGACGCACTTCCTTTTAAAGAGCCACCCTGACAACATTTAATCACTTGCTAGGGCTTCTTACAGTTGGATGTTGCACACTTGGGAAGGTGTAAGACTGAAATGAAGCAAGAAGTAACAGAATAGAGAAGCATTACACAAGGTACATAAAAAAGACCTAGCAGCCAGATCCACTTCAGCTTTCAAGGCACCACAGGAGCGCTTGGTGTCTTTAGTCTGAAGATTACATCCTCCAATACCTGAGAGTTAACAAATATTATCCCTACCTTGGTCTTAATACCTGCTCCATAAAGTATGCAAAGAGAAGACAGTGGTATCAAAAAGGATTCAGAATTGACTACGAGTCAATATTTATTTTAATTGTAATTTGAGAGCTGCGCTCAGTTATCCACTTCAACTGACAGATGCAAAAAGCATTACTTAATCAGCTCCTCAGTCAATAATTAGTTGGTGCCTTGGTAGTGATTTGAACGTACGACAATGAACACTTACCTGCCTTCTCTGATGAATTCTTCTGCTGACTCAATCTGCTTGTTGAGTTTCTTTACTTGCTTATAGAGAGAGAAACATTGCTTATGGTCTTGGTCAAGTTTCAGGCACTCCCGGACTTCACTTTTCACAGGGAGAAGGAAATAAGAGAAAACACCACACGTTATGGAATCTCATCTAGAGACACAACACAGCATCTATAACCTGTCCAAAGCAACAGTTGACTTCTTTACACAATCCCTCCCTTTATTCAAAAATTAAAGTGAGTGAAAAAATATCTTCCAGAAGATACAGGGATATTTATCTTTTGTTTGTTTTTAATTATTTTTTACTGCTAAATATGCCAAAATTTAAAAGCATTACATTAGTAACTGAGTGAAACAGTAAAAGAAAAACACACTCTGGAAATTTCATTGCATTCAGCAGTTAGACAATTGTAGTTTTCCTTTAACTTAGGTATATTAAAAAATATGTCTAAGGTGTAAGCATATTTTATGCTGCCTGGAACAGACAAAACTCAGGTGAGGCCCAAGGCTCCACTTGATAGAGTTATCTGCCAAACCTGAGCCAGACTTCTCACTGTGAGGACCATTTAATGAGACTCTGATTAAGACCCATACCTTTTAAACTAGGAAAAGGTCTTAAACAAGCAAAAACCTCCAGAATCCAGTCATAAATTAATAAAAATTATGTATAACTAATACATACACATAACTATACGTTAAAAATGAGTCATCACAGCACAACCATAGTGTTATTTTCGGAATACGATCAAAAAACCTTGTTTTGTTCCTAAGCACAGACAAAACCATTCCTTTGAAAATCATTAAGCTTGTTATGGGAAGAGAAAAAAATGGAAGACAAGATTAATCACCCAGCAAATCTAAGAGCTACGGAGCTAGTACATCTTCGGACTCAAAAAAAATGATATCAGGAAAGAATAAAGAACCTTATTCTTTAATTCTGGTACTATTCTGTTCCTCAGACAGCTCTCGAGTGCACTTCTTGAAATCACTAGGCTACGTGATGGTCAGCTACCAAAAGTCACCATGAAAATATGCTGTGAGCTCCAGAGTGCTCATGTTCTGGAAGAGGGATGTCTAAGGCAAACATATCAGCTATTTGGTGTTCACCACGTTTAACATACAGAAATAATTGTTTGCCAGATGTAAAACCTATTTGTGTTACTATATTCACACATGACATTTCCATCCTTTGTCAAATGCTGCCAAGAAACAAACTGGGGCTGAAAATAGCCCAAGTCTTTTTCAGCCTCACGTCTTACTGAAAGGATTCTGGTCCAGAATGGTGTTGGAAGGAGTCTGAAGATGCAACAAATGCAACTGAGATCACAGAAACCACTTGTGTGTGGAAATTAATTATATCATTTGTCCATCTGAGCACAAGGAATATGAAGTTAGCAGTTTGGACTGGGCAACCCCAGGGCTCAACTCAAACATTTTTTGTTTTCACTGTGAACTTAATTTGAAAGGAGGTTCAAAGTTTAAAAATACAAGTCTCCAAGTTTAGAGAAGCACTTTCTTCCAGGACAGAAAAATATAACAGCAGCAAATGTAAGCAACTTCTTTTTTCTACACTATGGCATCTAAACAAGAATAAAAATTGCTCAGGCAGCACTGATGGCTGCTCTGCCAAGAATAAACATGTCTTCACAGTTCTTAGCTTCTGGAAAGGAGTTTCCCTTATCAGGTCCAGCCCAGAGTTGCTACTTCATCCAAAAACAAAAAGACAACAGATATTTCATGGTTTATCATGCCCTACATCAGCACATTTTGTCTCAATTCTTATAATTACAGCAAACAGTGAAATTACCTGAGTGATAATTCATGGTCCCCAAGCTGATAATATATCCTGCTTATTTTATAGAAGGCTTCAGTGTTATCGTTCTTTAATTTGGCAGCGGCTTTCAAGTCACTAATGGCTTTGCTTGGCTCCCCTTCCTTTATATAACACTCAGCTCGAAGTTCCCGCAGCTCTGCATCCCAAACACAAACCTTGAGAAATCAAAATTAAAGCTTGACTTTGGTCCATAACACCTCACTTCTGCCCCTCCCCAACAAAACACAAACCCCATTATGTTTCATTTTGCCAACTGCAGTAGCATAAGGTTCGAGCTGCATGCAGGGCGCACGAAATTAGCATCTCTGCTTCCTGCTGGATGCTGCGATGCACCTGCCCAAACGGAAAACAAAGGCCTGAAGAATTTGTAAGTGATTCAGTGAGCTCATGCAGGAAGATGAATTAAATCTCCTGGCACTGCTTAAACAGAGACAGTCTGCTAAGCCTCCAGGGAAGGGTACCAGAACCATAAATTATTGTATCTTCCCAAAAGAACAGGAGTAAATGAACAGCAAGGACCGAGCTGTCAGCTGTCCTCCAGGAAGAAGCATGTGAGTAAGTTTCAGCAAAGCAAGATTTGACCTCAATATCTGGATTTTGAAGATTTATACAGAGGTAACAGCGTCACAGGATGGCAAGAATAATTACTCAAAAGGAATTGCCTATCATAATTCATTTTGTAGAATTTCTTCTGGGTCTTATCCTTTGTTTTTAAACCATGGTTTTAGAGAACACAGCTATACACATTTTTTACTTGGTGGTGGTCTTAAGCATTTGTTACTTCGTTTTCTCAAGACAAGAAGGTACCTGCTTCACAGTGATGATCCACCCTTTATGTAACTTTGTATTTAGCATGCACAAACTGCCTACGTATTAGCAAAGAAAGATCTAGATGCAAACCACCTATCCCTCCTGTATTTGGGTTGGAGAACAACTCCCCCCTCCCCCTCAGGAATACTGAGCTGTGAAAAAAGCAGATGAGCCAAAAGCTGCCCCACAGCAAAAGCTTGGTTGAAGACTTAGCTTTAACCATCACAATGATTTCTTTTTTTAAATTATTTTGTTGCAGGTAGTGCTCACTCAGCATTCTGCGCTCTCCAGCCTCAGCACGGATTCGTGGTGCTCAGCAAAACCACACCAATTACACCATGTGTTTGCACATTAGCGAGGAAGTTATTGAACCAAAATACATCGGACAGGAGCTCTTCCCTTTTCCTGCATCGTTTTACTTCACACTTACTGCCAAGATTTCATCAAGAAGAGAGATCGCAGCTTCATAATCCTCTTGCTGGTAGGCAGATAATGCTTGGGAATGCAGGCGCTGTAGCTCATCAGATTTTGTCAGCTGAGTCTGAGCATCTTTTTCCTCATTATTGCTGGGATTGGATTTGAGCTGCAAACATTAACAAGAAGAGAGGCTGAACTGCCTGTTCCAGAATCTCTTTTTGGTAATCATACCACGGAGAACTGACTAAAGCTGCAAATAAAGTAAAATGAGTTTTATAATTCCAGAAGTGTTTCCAACTCTGAATTCCGGAGACATTTTTAGCTTTCATACGAGATGTCAGAAGTTCGAGAGCTCCTAATTCCTCCCCTCACCCTGCTTGATCACTCACCACTGGACACATCATACGCAGCAATTCCTCTCCTGGACCAGGATTTTTATTTTAATCAAAACTTGCACTACCTTGTATTTTATACACAGACCATCAACTAAAATTACCAAGCCCTCAAAGTCATCCAATACTTTTTCTCTCCTCCTTTACCCTTGAAGTTACCCTTTCCCTTCTTCTAATCAGAGAGCCCTTCAAACGCTCACACTTTGTGCTTAAGTCTCTAACGTAATTCAGCATCAGCCCTCAGAACTCCTTTAACAAAATTTCCCAATTCTCATTATCTAAGCATATAAAAGAGAAAAGCCTTAACGCAACATGAAAAGCACGACCAGGTCCCACACCTCTGTCTTCAATTCTTCATTTGAAGTCTTTCTGACCCTTTATGAAGTTGTTTCATTTTACTGGCAGAAATCAAGTTGTACTTAGACCCAAAAATTCTCCTTTATCCCCCTCCACACTCTATCCCAGCAAGAGAGAGGGATGCGATCAAAGAGTTTTGTTCTTGGTAAGTTGACTCTTACTATATGTTTCAAAAAGCTTTTCTTCTGGTTATCACAGAGATTCTGCCTACAAACCCTTGCTGTTTTGCATCCTCATTCTCCCTCAAATCTGGAGCTCGCAACAGAGGCAAATTTCTGCATCTGCAATTTAAGAAGTTCCAAGAACACAAACCTCTCCCAGGTCCTGACCTCTTTAGTTCCAGCTGACGGGCTTAACTTTCTCCCTTGATTTCTCAGTGTCATCTTCTTTCAAAAATTAAGAACTCCTTCTACAGACGAGCTTTTTCCATTTCAACTTACCTCACGGTAACTGCACTCCTTAGACGCACGATGTTTCTTGTAATTTATTTGGAGAACAGCATCAGTGGAATATGAGAAGCAATTTTACAATCATGCAGACAAATCAGATTGTAATAAAGACCATTTGAGTGAAACATCTGAGGTAATTTTAGTACAAACTGGCATGTCAAAGCAAAGGGAAACCTCTCAAGCTATCATTCAAAATTAAGCTGTTAAGTTTTTGTGTTCCATGTATCATGAAAATAGTTAATTATTAAGAGTTTGAGTGTAGAGTGTATTATTATCATGTTTTAATCAGTAATGTTATTTACAGGTTAAAAAAGGCCTCTTCATTAAGCTCCAAGAGAAAAAGCTGGAAGTGTAATGCAGTTGTTTGACACTGTCATTTTGCTTTACTTGAAGTTTTTCCTGTCCTTTTGCCCAGCGATCAGAAGCCTGTTACACCACTGCTGATAACAATTCACTTCTCGATTACTCCTCTGCACCCTTCATCACCCTGCACCAACTCGAAGCTCTGCTCTGCACAGGGCAGCTGGACGAGCACGCTGCTAGCGGTGAAGATGCTCCAGAACGCAGCCACTGCTCTCCAGCACAGCATCCTTGGCAGTCCTGGAGTTTTACTGCATTCAGATGGCAATGCTAGATGAGTTGCAGTTGCAGCAACAAGCATCAGCCATCTGTTACAGCAGCTTTTGCTCACTACTGAAAAAAAATCAACTTGCAACTAATTCCTTTAGAGAAAAGGAGAAGCCAGCATACGGGAATGGCTTTGTTATTGTCAGTAGTTCTTTATTACAGATTTACCACTATAAGTGCTGCTTTATTTGATTGTCTAACCTCAGTAGAGGGGAGAAACGTCATTGGGCAAAGAAAACCTGCCTTTTGCCCCTAGATGAGCAAAGTTAAACAAAAGGATCAGCCACAAGCAATTTATCAAGCAAGACTTTAAAAGCATTTGCATGGGTGCCTCTCTTCTTCACTGTCCGCGAGGAGGCTGGCTTCCACTGAACTTCATCTCAAGGACTCGACTCAAAACTTCAGCATTACCTTCCTGCGCTCAGGGCAATAGGGAAAAGCCTATCAGGAATTCAGGTCCTCAACCCCAGCATTTTCCTTGTTTTTCCGTGCTTCTGACTATAACAACAACAGCAAATTGAGTAGGCTTGTGAAAAACTTTTTTGGGGGAGGCAGGGACCTCTTTTGTTTGTTTTATCAAAGGTCAAGGCATCCACACACTACAGAAGAGACAGGAAAGGTCTGTGCTGGCAGAGCAACATATGAGGTAACAGCTATGATGTTAGATGGAAAAAGGCAGTAAGTGTTTAAATACCTTTTACTCAGGAAGCTGCAGATGATCGTGTTACCACAGAGCAACGTATGTGGAAACAATCCACTGCTAATGTAATCTAGTTAAGAGAAATTCAAAATACCCAACACAAGTTTGCTGAGTGACTTTGATCAGGTTAACTTGTGCCAGGAAATGGTCTCCTTCACCTCCATCCAAAATGCTGGCCAACTAGCCACGGAAAAGCATTGTTCAGTGCATTTTGAAACAGCCACAGGCTTCATTAGACTAGAAAAAAAAGGATCTGCAAAAACACAGCACACAGTCACCTAGTTTTGGCTGACATCTAGTGGAACTGCCAGTGGAAACTTCAGTTTCCAGGTTTTAAGTGCCTGTGCAATTGTCTCCCTCAGAAGCACATTGAGGGCACCTCAGTTTGGAGGTATTTATTGCAACAAAATGCAACTGTGAACATTTCAAACCCTATTTTTTTTTCCTGACTGTAATATATTTGACAAATTTTTCCCTTTCAGACTTTCCAACAGGCTAGGCAGAAGTGACAGAAGTTCTGTCCTAAAAATCCTTCCAGTTTTTGCATCTCCTACACAGTAACCCGGATGCTTGTCATTCTCTAGGACATCAGCAGGACCATAAACGATATTACAAGGAACATCCAAAGGGCAGCCAAAGCTTCAATCACTTTTGTATCCTTTTCAGAAGGCCTTCATCAACCAAAGGATAGCGTTATCCCTTTATTTTCACTGAAAACCACATGCTTCAAGATAAATTTTGCAGGGTTTTCATGGACTGAGGCCTTAGATTTGAGTGTTGATGTGCCAGAAACCCACCCTGCTTACTGCTATTGCTTGGGAACTGCTCACCAGAACAGAAGGGACTTGACATTAATGCATACCAGCATTTATCCAAAATTGGAGTGGAGAAATTAATGCTATTAAACACCATAAGCAATAACTTTGTTTTCAATTTTTTCACCCAAGGACTTCTGATTTATCCCTGTTTCATCCTGGGCACTCTGAAGACAAGAACGAGACCCTCCTGTTGACATCCATGAGCAGTTTTATTACCCTCCAGGCGTTAGATTTCCATGCTGATAGCTGAGTTATTAAGGGGAAAGCCACTGTTCTAAAGAGCAAGGAGGATCCTGTGTGGCTATACAAGAAGAGGCTGGTGCTTGTATGAACCTCATCAGCTTGGTGCACCTGTTGGCCAAAAGGAAGTGTTGCTGTAAACATTGTGTTGCTTCACACATCGAGGATAAGCCTGAATCACCCCCTCTGTCCAAACCCAGTGATTAACTTCAGCAAACAGGGAAGGACAGTGTGGAAAAATGAAAAACAAAAGCAACCTGTGAAAGGATGGCCCTAAGGCTGGGGTCTCGAGAGGCTCTGCTCCTAAAAGTAGCAAACCCACTCCTCCAGCCAGACATTCCCACTGCCACAAATGCTCCTCAGCCAGCCAGGGACATCTTGGGTAGTAGAAGAGAAGAGAAGATAAATAGAAGGGAGATATCCAAAGGGAAGAACTGCTCTGCTCAGCAACCAGGTAACTTTAAAGAGGTTTAGGGTCCTCAGGAAACTTCCCCACATACTTTAAAACTGCATAGAAAGAATTTAAAGGCTTTTTTTCCTCTCCACAAGTACACATTCAAGTATAGGTTTACTATTTTACTGGCAGAAAGTTTTCAGTGATTCTTTTAAGATGTACAGAGAACTGTTGCTGCTACAGGCTGGGAAGTTTACCTGTCACCCTGCTGTTTCTGAGATTTTTCTTCCTCCCTCTGTCTTACTGTCCAGACATTTCTTTCAAGGAGCACAACTCCAAGCAAGAATGGAGGAATGGCAGGAAGAAAACAGGCATTTCAGCACTTCTACTGGGATTTGACAAACTTCTGAAATACGCTATGAGAACACAGCATTTGCAGGCAGCTCGTTACAGCTTGCAGCTTCTGGTAGGCAGGGAAAGCAACACTGACTGTTAATGCAAACATCATATAGGGTAGTGCAAACTGCCTTCCTCCTACAAGCCTGTCTTTGAGCAGTTCATCCTAAAACACTCTCCTTAGTTTCTACACCTTGATCTGGTTTCTCCAGCTCAGAAGTAGAAAACATTTTAAAAATCTGATCCCCTGCCTTAAAATCAACAGCTGACCACCAAACAAAAACAAATCAGTGAAAACACAAGATAACATCTATTGTCATTCAAGGGAACACAATCTACTTCAAAGAAGGCTTTTCTTCTGAAAGCCTTCTCATCCAGAAAACTGTTTTCTCAGGAAAAAATAACACTGAAGGTAAAAACCTAGCAAAATTAACCTCCTTCTGGTTCATTTTTATAGGTGTATAGATGTCCTCAACCATCTACATTAATGCTCTGCAAATCTGCACCATAAAGAAAGCAGGTGTTTTTCTCCACATTAAGACTTCCCTTGCAGTGAAGAAGAGGGATAGATGGTGAGAAGGTGCTGTATTTCAACATCTTTACATGATATTTAACTTCTGCTTGCAGAAATGCATGATCAGACCATGACACAGCTACTGTGACTGCTTGCAGGCTTCAAGAACGCGTACAACAAATGTCAGATAGCCAAAGTTGCACCGTAAATTAAATCCAGGTTTGGACACCTTCATTTGCTGCTCTGCTGTGTGCTTACCCTGACTGACAGCAGCTTGGCTGGTAGCTATCCAGCCAACAGATTAAAATGCTGGACAGCTATCAGGTCCTCATCTACGTTCACAGCCAAGGAGCAGAATTTGAGATTATATACTCAGCTCACAGGTAAAACATGCAATTTTAGGTATTCAAGACCAAAACTGAGTCCTTGCCTAAAAGCTACTGAGACCCCACTAGCACTTCTTTGCATCTGCCCTAGAAATAGGACTTTTCATTTCAGCCTACAACTTACTCCTTTGAGGTTCTTGACAGCTGATTTATGATATGAGTCAGTTTCTTAGTGACTACTGTTTACCTTTCCTGTGTTGCTTTTGGTAGCTAAGATACAGAGTTTAAAACATTCAAGTCTTAAAATAATTTAGAAGCCACTTCATTTCTAACAGCCTTCCTCCTTTTCTCCCATCCTCTCATGTATATATAATTTATTCACACAGTGGATAAGTTTTTAATCTATTATGAAGGATTGCTTTAGTATCTTCTTACCTTGCTCGAGTACACTGTAACTACTTGCTGCAATCACTAAGGAAGTGCATAAGCAATGTCGTTCACAGAACCAAGGGAACTGGCACTAAAATTTACAACCAATATGGTATCTAAGTTAACCACTGAGAAGAAACTCTGTTTCTTCTGTCCTACTCCAGATTTAAAGCTCAACTGAAGACTGAAACAGTTTGACTGAACAAAGGCAGCAATCTTTTTATTTTCAGAATTTCAGCTGGTTTAGAAAAAAAGCCAAGTTATTTAACAGTTGACTGGAGAAGCATTTCCGTATGCAGTATTGAGCAATACTCAGGGAGCCAGTAACTGTGGAGAGACGCGGACACAAGCTCAGAACCAACGCTGCTATCCCATAGCTGCTACTGCAGCAGCTGTCCTGTTAATTAGAGCTGCACGACGTTCTCCCACAGAGCAAAAAGCAGGGCAGCAGTGCAGCCAGACATGCAGCTGCAGACCGCAGGCTCACCCCTGAGACACTTCCTGAGGAAGCAGCAGCAAGAGGCCAGGATAAACCACTGCTGTTTTGCTGCAAACACAGCACTGCCTCCTGCACTTGTAACTGCAGCAGTCACTCCTCTGGTTTTGTCTCACATACTCACGAGTAACATTTCCTTTAAGCATCTCTAAGCTGCAACACAGAGCTGCTTTCTCCATCACACGACAAAGAAAGCCAACACAACAGCACCAGTTACACTTGCAAATTCTATTTGTTTTGGTATAAAGGACAGGCAAGCTGTTCAAACTAGCAAATACTGAAGAGAAAACAAATACAAGAATTAATCTTATTTATCCTCCTGCTTATAGAAAATTTGTGAAACCGAGGAAAATGAGTTCCACATGTTATCTGAGGATGAAGTGGATTTTGTTCTAGAGTTTATTTTCGCAGCATGAGACTGAAATAACTGAAATAAAAAACGACCTACGTGAGTTTTAGGTGAGTAATAGCCAACTACAGCTGCGTGGTAACTCAAAGCACTTTTTGATAACAGAAAGTATTTTCAACACTTTCACAAAGGCTGGAGAATTCCTTCACAGATAAAGAGATGCAGATGTATGCCACTGAGTTAATTGATTTTAGCATCACAGTGACTGAACTAAGAGGCCAGGATCTCTCTGCAATCAGTGGAAAGAGAGCCTGATCCATGCAGCCTACAGTCATTTCCCATTGTCTCCTGAAAATGGTGATGGAAATCAGTGTTCAACTGTGTACTGAGTCCCATGCCACCTTTCTGAACCAAGACTGCTCTCTAGTACAGGTGTCATCAGGGAGAGATCACAGTGTTAGGCACGCACACAAAACCAAGACTTTACAGAGTGCTGTGCTACTTCACACAACGCCTTATTTCAACTTCACTTCTCCAGCCCAACTTTATTGTTTGTTCATACGAAGCAGCCTCACTACAACACCTTTAAAGGACAGGGAAGATTTGAACTTTGGTATCCACACGCATTCTCTAGAGCATCAGAGCTGAGATGAGACCTGGGCTCAGAAGCCAACTTAAAACCAGAAACCGTTCTTCAATTCAGGTAAGTTGGAGAACTTACCACGTTTTTAAAGTCATCCTCTGCTTCATCAAACTTCCCTTGCTTGAGCAGTAATTGTCCTCGCTGTAATCTTGCCTGAAATTAAAGAGAAGACAGTTTCTTTCAGTTTACACATGGGTCTTCAGGAAATTATGAAAGTGAACTTGTTTCCTTTAGCAGAAAAAACGTTTCTTTTTACTACAAGCTAACAAGCTGAATAAGAAATAACACCACCTGCTCTTTGTCTTCCTAATGTTCTTAAGAGGGCTCTGACAGTAAAGAATTACTTTACACCATAATGGAGGACCAAAGCATAGACATATATGTATATTTTTTTATAAACAACTGTAGTCCTAAACATAATTGAAAAGAACACATTTGAGATGTTGCACAAAATGAAGTGAATGTTTACCTTACTCCATTGTCCTGATTATATGTGGTCATAGATTTAAAAAAATGATTTTTAAAACTCTAATATTGGGTTCTCTCATTAAACTTTTAGAGCAATAGAAGCTATGTAAGATGACAAACGAGTGATTTGTAAGATTTTGATTGAAAAATCTTACAAATTTGTGAAGAAGAGAAGCCTCAGCTCAGCTGCTGGTCAGGAGGGCAGAAGAGGCATCCGCTCCCTCACAGCCTTGGTGAGAGGGGAACAACCACAACAGAGAAGAAAAACACTTGGTACAAGCCCATGAGGAACATGCACTGAATAAAACCATTAGCTACCAGAGGAACAATCCAGACTGTGCTCAGAGTGCTTGCAAATTCTAGCACATACCCCTCTGCTATTATTTTATCCTATTTAAAGTTTTGTGTGATGACGTATTTTCTATTTCTCTTTAGCAAAACCTGAAAACCAGCCTCCTTTGAAGTATTTTTTGTATCCACTCAAACAGTTTCCAATCCCAGCAATACTTACGGATGTGAAGTCCTGCTTTAATTCCACCACTTTACTTAAGTCGCGAATTGCTGCTTTAGATTTCCCCATGGCTAAGTACACTGTGGCTCTTCTGTAATAAGCAATGTAGTTATCAGAGTCTCCCTCTGCAAGCGAATGAACAGGAATCAGAACTATCTCCGAGCAACTGAACCTCTGGGTGCAGCTCAACTCTAATGACTAAAAATATATTACCTGAGTTGTAAGCCACTGGAAAAGACAAATTTGCATTTATCAATAAAACATTTGTTCCGAGTAATTTGTAATGCGGTTTAATTATTTAACAATGGAGATTAGAGAAGCACAGTACATTGCTAATAATTAAGACTTTGGAAGAAGAAATATGTACATCTTTTTAGCCTTGTGCAGGAAAAAAGCAGTCCCTGCGTACTTACCCTTTATCTCAAACTGCAGGCCCGCATTTGAGAGCACGTTAATTCATTATTCTCCTTCCCAGCCCCTGTCCATCACTCAGAATGCAAACAAATAATCCCCAAACGAGCAATATGCTAGTCCAACGTCATTACAGATGCATAAACCCTTCCTATCATCCATTTAGACAGCAGCAACTTCTTTCTAATATTAAAGTGGGCACCAACACCCCCTCTTAATGGGGGACAAAACCAGGTGCTACACCAAAACCTGCAGCCTAACTTCAAGGCCACCACATTTCATGGTGTCTGCTGCTCAGACTTCCAAGATCCTCCAATTTTAACACTCTATATGGATACCCCTACACGAGGCAAACCTGTTTTCAGAAGCTTGTTTTCTCCTTCATATTCTCCTCAGTTACTCTTGAGGTTCTTAGGAAAAGGTAATTTAGAGCTCCCACACAACCACACACAGTGTAAGACAGACTATTTACTGCCCAATTAATTATATGTATGAAAATCCAGGATTTGTATACAAGAACACCCACATCTGAGGAACAACACAAGGACGTCTCTTCCACGCCTCATCAGAGGCTGAAGTTCAACTTGAAAATAAATGAAACAAAGTATTGCCCAAAATCTTAATGCAGGTCAACAGCTTCACAGCTGGCCACCCCCAACACCTAAGTGCTAGGTTAAATCTCTTTGGAAAAAGGTATCTGCACTCTTTTTCCACAATCTCTTGGCTGTGGAAACACTGATGTCTAGCACTGGGTTATGATATTATTGAAAATCAACCTCCATGCTGTATGCACCTTGATGTCCATAATCCTAGTGTACAAGTAAATTCAAGTATTACTACCTTTAAGAGCAGGAAACAACCTAGTATTAAGTCTTACTGCACATAACTCAATGCAAACAAATCAAAAGATGAAGTTCAGGAATGTTATTCCTACACAGAGGAAGAAAGAATATAGTAAACAGCTAACCCAGAAAGCGTATTTCAGCATCAGATAATCATCCTGACTGTCAGAAGTAACAGAAAGCAACGTCAGTCAGCATTTACCCAGAGAGGTAAACCTCGCAGAGGTACCACCAAATAGAATTGAGGAGTTAAAAATAAAACAGAAGAAATGGATGGGATCTTTATACCCAACCAATCATAAAGGAATAAGCCACGCTGCTAACGTTAGCTCTGCTCAGATCCCACGGGAGCACTTGTGCAGCAACACAAGAGGCAAAAGGATGAAGAGACCATCCCCACAGGAGGAGGTTCTTCCAGGACACTGCAAAAGAGGCTCCCTCCACCCCAAGAGGAGCTGATCTTATAAAAGGAGGAGAAAACACTAATAGCCCGGAACCAGCCGTATTTCAATTACATTTTATTTTTAGGCCAGCGCATAAATAGAAGTGTCTCAGCAGTGCAAATCATTACTGCGTAACAACTCAGTGTTACTACTCTCACAGGGAAAATACTGCACTTGCATACACACACACGTTATAACAAAAAAAAGAACAACAAAAACGTGTAATTGAAGAACTGCAGTGTTAATGGACGCTGCTCTTCACTGCTGCAATCTGCCTCTGTGTTTCAATTCAAGGACTTGAACCACCAGCCTTCCTTTAACATTCATACAAGCAGCATTTAACTTCTCAGGCTGGTGCAAATGCAGAACACCAAAATAGGAACTCGCTCGCTTGCTGAGTGTAAGAGTGGGAGACAGTGAATGTACCCTTCACTACCCTTTCAATGTACCCAACTTACAGCATCATTTCCATTGTGGTATTGCCCACTGCAAGACTGAAAAAATAAAGTGAGACTTTTTATTTTAAGGTGTTGAAGAAGAACGAGTGGATAAACCCAGCCTTTCAAAGCCAAAGATAAACTCTGATCTTGACGGGATTAGGTACAGGGAGCACCTCATCAAATGGTGCTGCAGTCAAATGTAACTGCTGCCATATAACTGGCTCGCAGAACAGCAGCGACAGCACGTTCACGTATTGTGCAGTCCATTTAACAGCTTCTTTTATTAAAACCAAAGCATAAATATTCTATGGCAGCTCTCCTGGCTCCTGCTGAAGTCCAAGCAGCTGCATGAAGGTGCCCCAACTTTGGTGACTCACGGACTTGCAAGAAAGCAGGCTAAGTAATGAAGCAAACGCTAGCATAAATACATAAATAAGGCAGAAACGTTTATTGCAGATGTCACTTTCTTCAATTACATACCTATAGCCGCATGGAAGTGAGACAAAGCATCTGCTAGCTGTCCAGCAGCCAGTAACTTCTTTCCCATTTCAAGTTGCTTTTCTACATCAGCATTTATTCCACATTCAGCTCCTTGAAGGAAAACAAGAGTGATGTTCTGAACGGCCAGCTTATTATAACAAATACATACAATAATAGTACAACATAAACATTGGTACTGATACAGAAGCAGAGGTGATGATTTTTCATATGACAACAACTTGCAGCCTAAGGAACTCTCAGCATGCCCTCCCCTCCCCAAAAGGATGTCAGAGTGAAACTCTGACCCTACTGATACCTGAGGACTCTACTAAGAGCTCTTGGCCACTTCAGGGACTGGTTATCTACCATATTTGTCTCTCATCTTTATCATTTCCAAGGCAAAATGTTTCCAGAGAGTAAGTTTTGATATAAACAACTATAATTCTCTTTCCATTTAAGAAGTAATATGAAATTTGTATTTGAGTGGTGTGTTTCAGAAGGGATGGGTTTTAGCTCAAAACTGACAAACTGCTGCTGGTCAACCTCCAGGGAAAGAAGACTGCCAAGACTGCTGATTTTAAGTCCTTGCTGTACATATATGAAGTCAGCAATGGTGTTTTTTTTTATTTGTACTGCTTCCAGCATTCTTTAAATCACAACAATTTCATTATGACTTGTCAATTTGTGACTTAAAGCATGCACACGATGAACAGCTTTCTGACAGCATCCATTATGCACAAATTTAAGCAAGGTCAATACATTAAAATCTTAAATACACTACCCTCAGAAAACAACGAGCTACAATTACAAGGAAGCAATTTCTTTTACTCAGGTTTTGTACTGAAATCATCAGAAGTGAACTCGAGAGGGACTCTTCATCAGGGAGTATAGCAATAAGACAAGGAATAATGTTTTTAAGCATAGAATGCAGGTTTAGATCAGATATAAAGAAGTTCTTCACTGTGAGGGCGGTGAGGCCCTGGCACAGGCTGCCCAGAGAAGCTGTGGGTGCCCCATCCCTGGAGGTGCTCAAGGCCAGGCTGGATGGGGCTTTGGGCAGCCTGGGCTGGTGGGAGGTGTCCCTGCCCATGGCAGGGGGGTGGGACTATGATCCTATGAATTCAATACAAAAATTGAGTAGCACTTTGAAGTTGGTTCTTAGTCTGAAGCGTTACACTACCCAGGCACATTAAAGGAAAGCATATCAGAACTTCTCACCCCGAGAGGTGATTAAACAACAAAGTAGTATTTCTAATGAAGGAACAGTAACTTCTGATCACCAAGGCATCAACTTTTAGGAGTTTTTAGCATCCAAAATCTTGTTTTTTTCCCTTCCCACTCCTTAATGCAGTTCATAACTTCCAGTTCCACATCGTAAGAAAGTTGGGCTGTCTCTACTAAAAAAAATGACAAAAATGTCCTCTGTATCCACTGGAAAAACTTCTACCTCTTGAAAAAAAAACATCGGTGACAAATCAAGTAATTGGATCCAAAGGCTTCAATTCAATGGTTTGCATTATATCTGCCACACAAACAAATTTCCTTTTGTAAATTAATGGAAATAATTATAAAATAACCCCCAAATTTTCTTTTTTTTGTTGTTTAACTAGAGGGAAATAAAACAGTAATATTACTAATCATACAGTCCATTTGGGGAACTTATTAAAAATGCATTTTAAAATCCATTCTGGGCGTGCACAACACTGAATAAATATAAGTAGCTTCACTGACAATATCACAGAAGTATTTCTCCACAGGTTTCTCACATGTGGTATTTGGTAGCTTTCATGTGAATTTCTCTTTTACAGGGAAAAAAAATGGACACTTGCCTTTTTTCCTAGCTCAAAGTTTTGATCACTGAGTCATCCAATGTCCTTTAAAAGGCCAAAACAAACAGTAAGGCACAAACAAAAAAACACACGCCCTTGGAAAAAGTCCAATTCCCCCTGGCTTTGGGAGCGTGGTAGCAACAAATCAGACATCAACCGCAAGCAGGCTGAAATATTTAACATGAAATAACAAAATTTACCCCAAAAAATGAAACAACAGAAGACCCATGAGCTTCGTGCCCCCTGCCTCTCCCCACATATGAATATCTGAAGTCTCTCAGAAGTTGTGAGATGTGGGGTTGGATGCTGTAAGGGGGCTGTAGGTTACTCTGAGGCACTTTCTGCTCACCAAAACACAGCATTCAAGTTTCACAGCGTCTCCAGTTCCTCGCAGAGCATCCACGTTTCACATTCAGTCACATCAGCACTGCTCTAAGAATAGCTTCCACTACAGGACGTGCCTAGAGCACCCTGCTTGTGCGTTATGTTCGTAAGGCACAGCAGCCACACAACGCATCGGGCAGGAGAGCTTTTTCCTTGAAAATACCGAAGACAGCACCAGCAAAAAAAGGAAACGAGTGAAGTGACTGTTAGGGGTTACTGAGCAGGAAAAACTTGACCCTACCTGTTTCTGAACATCACGAATCAGTGAGGGATCTCCAGGAGCAGCCAGTGTCACCATGAGCTACCGAGGAGTGCACAGACCTGATGGCCGGGCAGTTTGCTCACAAACACAGCACTTAACTTTTTGGCAGCAGGCAGACAGCGGCTCCAAAGCAACCACCCCGTGGCAGACAGCCAAGGGCTGCCAGCACAGACACAGGAGTTCTGCACAACATTTTTGGGTACCTACTCCCTGACCCAAGAGCAGAGAGTCCACAGACCTGCTCTGGAGAGCAACCAGGTGCTCCTGCTTTCCTGCTCCGGGCGCTGACACCCTACAGGAAGACAAACAGGTGTAGCCGACCTGTCCTTCCAGTTAAATACACGCACTTCAAACAGCTGAGAGCTTCCTGGTAGGGTTTCTGGCCCTCTAACTCCAGAACTGCTTCACGGTTTTACACTTATCCATACGCTCCTATTTTCTTCCCTGAAGAATTTTCAACTTTTTTTAATTTCATGACCAAGCTGGGTCACAGGACTGTGAAAATAAGACAGTGCACCAGAAACACAAGTTTCACTGTCACGTTCTTCCAAGCAGAAACATGCACGCCACTAAACTTAATCAAAGGGAGCTGAACTTTTATTTTTAAACTGAGTCCAGTGGTTGTTTTGTCACGTGAAGGGGCAGTCCTGCTTTTGGGATGGTTCTGATTAGTATGGCCCTTCTGTAAGTGTGTCAGCATGCTTTGCAGCGATAAGAACGAACAAAGGAAGAAGTGGAGATGCAATCGCAGCTTCAGGGCTGATCAAAAAAGCTCACAAGCGGCCTCAGGGCACAGCAAAACCTTCCCCTCCCCACATCCAGTTGACATATGTCCAATTTCCATCCACGCAGTTTTACTCCCTCAGTTTGCAAACAAAGTTCATAAATAAAACAAAGCTTGGCAAACCAAAAAGCCAAGAGAAAACTCATTTCTTCCTCACAAAACTTGGGGAGAGATGAAAAAACCTTCCCAAACTCAGGGCAGAAACATATGGGATAGGGGTGAGGAGGTTACTGGGCTGACAGTAACGAATTGAGCACCACATACTTAAAATCATTTCTTCTTGTTCTCCTTATTACCTTTCCCTCAGGGTGAAGAAGGGAAAGAGGAACAATATTTCCCTATCCTCCCCAGTTGCCTCTTTTTGCCTGTTTGTGTGGGTGAGCAGCCACGAAGGGGAAGCATTCCCAAGAGGCAGTCTGTGCCAGACGGGAGCTCTTTGGCAGGAGTCAGGGAGTTCAAGGGGAAAGGATTCAGGAAACAGGACAGGAAGGGATGAACTGCAACTTCCCACAACACCACGTATCCCAAAACATTTCTGACTGAACGCGTTTACTGGCCTGAAATAACTCACATCCACAGATATCGACTGTAAGGTACAAAGGTCACGCAGGCTGTCACTGATCCATGAACCAGGTGGCACAAGGCAGACTTTTACAAGCAAGACAGCAAGATGCAAATGGAAACACGAATAATGTTTAAAGTAGCACGAAATCCCTAAACCCCTTCAGTACATTTTCTGGAAAATGAACTCAGGAATTAGAACATGAGTAAAACATAAGTAAATTCGGTAAGTGACGGGTGTTGGTTCCGGGCCTTAATTTAGTACTTCACTCCAGAATATCTCTATTAAGTTGACATGAAGAAGACACACCCCCGTTTAGTAACGTGACTTCAGTTATTCTACAGAGGCACTGACCCGTGCAGTTGAGCCAGGCTGGCACCACCAAACGCAGAGCCCCCAGCCTGTCACAACCGCTGTTTCTCCCCTGACTGTGCCAGAGCAGCCATCCAAGGAGGTAACTCTGAAGGCGCCGCCCGGCCCCGGTGGTTGCATAACGGGGCCTGGGCGCTGCCGGGGCGCACACCCGGCGCCGGGAGGGAGGCGCAGCCAAACCGCCCCGACCCCCTCAGGCAGCGCCGGGGAAGGCCCGGAGGGTCGCTAAGCCCCGGGGTGAATCGCTGCTCACCGTGGTGCCGCAGGTCGAGGAGCACGATGAGGAAGGGCAGCGCGGGGCCCAGCCGCCCGGCGGAGGCGGCGGCGCACACCATGACCGCCCCACGCCCGCCGCGACACTGCCGGCCGAGCCCCGGCCGCGCGGCTCTTGGTGCTGCGGGGAGGGTCGTGGGCGCCGCTGATTGGCCCGGCGCGGGGCAGCGCCGCCGCCGATTGGCCCGCGAGGCGGAAGCGGCGCCGGGGTGGGGTGGGGAGGTGAGGCCGGTGGTGGCGGCGCGCGTGCGCGCTGGGGGTGGGGCGGCTTATGGCTGGCGGCCGCACGCCCCGGCTGCCCTAATCGCGGCGGCGCATGCGCGGTGAGGCGGAGCGACGCCGCTGCGGGTGGAGGGTTCCCTGACCTGAAATGGCCGCCGCCAGCAGTTCAATAAAGCCCTTCAGTTTCTCTCCCTGCCGCCCCCTCACCGCTCCCTCATGGGGCGGAGGCTTCGTGCCCGTACCCAGCCATAAACACGGAGGCAGCGCCTCTCCTCTTAATTCTAGAGTTCAACCTACCCATTCTGCCGTCCCTGTGTCACAATCTTACATTATCTTATTTTTCACTGAGGTGCAGCACAGCCAAAACCATCAGCTTTTGCCCAAACCGCCAGGCATGCCGAAATTATTCAGGGGATTCACCAAACTGCCCCCAAACCGGTGATGTGACCTACCAGAGCGCAGCATTCTCACACTAAAAGTTCATACGTGACCTATAAACTTGTCGTGGTCTTAGCAGAGATAAGAGTTTATTTTTTTCGTAAAGGCTTGTGTGATGCTGTGTTCTGGATTTTTGATTAAAATAGCAGCAATAACACATATTTTTGGTTGCTGCAGAGCAGTGCTTGGGTAGAGCCAGCTTCTCACACTGCCCTGCCAGCAAGGAGGCTGCGGGTGCACCAGGACAGCCAGGGCAGCTGGCCAGAGGGATGTCCCACAGCGTGTGGTGCCATGCTCAGCAGTAAAAGTTAGGGTACAGGAGGAAGAAGACAGAGGCATTCAGAGCGATGGCCATTGTCTTGCCAAGAAACTTGATGAGCCCTGCCTTCATGAGCACCTGCCTGCCGATGGGAGGCAGCAAATGGACTCATTTGGCTCTGCTTGTGCACGTGACTTTTGCTTTACCTGTTAAAATGTCTTTTCCTCAACCTATGAATTCTCACAATTTAACCTTTCCAATTGTCTCATCCTCTTGAGAAGGGTGAGTGAGCAACTCTGTGGTGCTGAGCTTCCTGCTGGGGCTAAAGCACAACAGCCGCACACTGAAAGCAAAACCTTTGTAAGACAGGTTGCCATCTAACCAGCATGTGTTTGGAGACGTCTTTTTTTTTTTTTTTTTTTTTTTTTTTTTTTTTTTTTCTCATTACTGAAATACATGCATTCTTATTTACCACAGAAAAGCTAATAGTGTGTGTGCATAGACATTTGTTTTAAGTTATCTGCTGTGTATTGTTGAATAAAAACTTCATATTAGGGACATATTATATAATGTTACATGCCATCAATGTTAAAAAAAAAGCAAGTAACAACATTGAAGTTCAGAGTCTGATTCAGCAATCACATAAATTTCTTTTTTCTTTCTGCAGGTACATTCACATTACCCTTTTCACCCTACGTGATAAAATTCACAAGAAGGAAGATCTGATCTTAGAAGATCAGAATGAAAAATGAAAAGTCAGTTAGCCCTCTTCAACATTTCGTTCAGAAGATGATGCTTCAAAAGTGTCACCTTGAAATTTGACCTGCAGAAAGTACTCAGAAATAAGAACTCGCAATAATAGAAGTGATAGATGTGAAATGAAGACTTGTGTGTCAGGTACGCCCTACTTCTGTACAGCGTGGTAGGTACACCCTGCTCCTTACTGGGCATATGACTTGTTCAGACTTATAAGCCTCTGTAGGTGTCAGTGTAATCACTCCTTGAACCAGCTCATTAACAATGGAGCCTCAGGAAGAGCTCACTTCAGGAAACAACCCGATAAGGCATCTGAGCTTCACTACGAGTCAATCAGGACTACAATATGACTACGAGTCCATCATGACTACAATATGACTATGATAAAGATCTAATAAATATGAAAGGAAAAGCCATCACGGCATCATTGCTATCTACAGAACGCTGTGAAGTCTGATGCTGTCTCACTCTTCTGTTGAGGGTTGAGAGGGAGGATTGCACAACCTGATTCCTAAACAGATTGGCGGAAGACCTGAATCCTGGAAAATTACTGACCAAAAGCCTTATAATCCTATAAATAGGGATCCCAAACAAGAACTCTTTGAGCACTCCAGGGACCACAGCAGGCTGCACTCTCAATCTCTCCCTGAACTGGGACACTTCTCAGGGTACCCCTGAGGGGATGTGCATCTCAGAGCTGACTCCTTGAGGAACAATCTCATCTGTGGACCAATGCTGACATGGAAGTAGGGTGAGTAATTCACTCTAAGGGGGAGTTTCGGAAGCATGCGACTGGATTTAGAGCTCCCCCCTGGACCCTACACTAAGGCTCGGGTGACCCTTGCCATTCAGGAACCTTTAAGTCACTGTTGCTATTGTAGCAAGTTTCTTTAGATCACCATGTTAATTGACTGATACTTAGATGCTGATTAAGTGCTGTTAAAATCTTATGATCTAACCTTGTTATTTGCTGTAGAGATATATAATAAATCCTTAACTGCTGCAACATCAGAGTTGTGTAAAATCTAATTCTGCAACATGACGTTCTGAAGATGTCAGCATGAGGAAGAACATGACAACCCTAGCACTATGGGTAAGACGAAATAAAAAGGCTGAAACTGAAGAATATAATCACTGTTACATTATTTTACTTGAGAGGGGGAAAAAAAAAAAAAAAAAAAAAAAAAAGAAAAAGTATTAGATCAAAGCCAGATAAAATGAATATGACAGGGCAATTTATACTTCCAGCCCCCTAAGATAACAATAAATAATATCAAGGGTGAATGCCTATTCAACAGGCCCTTAATGTTAAACAAGATAAGGAAAAAAGAAATCTGGAGAAAACTGTACTTTATACTAGGATTCCAGGCATGAAGGTTCAAGCATCAAGTCCCTTAAAGCAAGATGAAAGTATGATGATGAATGTATTGAATGTGATTTTAAGTAGATGCTTGACAAGTATATATTTGAAGGTCAATATTTCAGGCTGACATAGTAATGTAAAGAACGGTGTATAACACTACAAAGTAACATGCTCAAAGGGAAAGCATTGTTCATTGTCCCTCTGTGATAGAAATGTTGTCAGGTACACAGATGCCAACACAGTAATTCTTGAAAGAGACTGCAAACCATGAAGGTGCATTCTTGATGATCATCCGCCCCAAAACATATATAATTTCAATACTAAGTATAAGCTTGGAAGAAAAAAGTTCTACACATATTCTGGTGAGCAATTTCAGAAGCAGACAAGATGCAGAGAAGGAGAAAGACTTTGAAATCACAAATGTGTATGACATGCCAACATTATTTTTTTGAATTTCAAAAATAGAAAAGCAACGCAGCTGTAATGCAATAAGTACTTCAAAAGGATTAATCAGAATTAGGCTCGTGCCAGAAACATGTTTCTTCCTCAGTCCTGAGTTTTGGAGGGAATGAGTGGATGGAGAAGATTACACCACGTTCAGACAGAAAGCCAAGGAATTTTCCTGGAGTTGCTGCTGGTGATACATGTGGTAACAGCAGAGGGCGTCCATTAGCAAGGAATGACTTTTTATGCTCTTCATCGCTTCTTAAAGGGATTGGTGAACTCAATGTGGGGACTAACATATATATGGTGGATATTGTTAAGGCTTTATTAACTGAGAAACCTGCATATATATATAAATATATACATAAAAGGCCCTATGTATGTGTATATATATGTATATATTGTATATATATATACACAGGAAAGACAATAACAGTGGGAAGTCTGGATTAGACACAACAGCACACAAGGTACTGGAGGGACCCTGCTCATTATCAATAGGTTTGGCGACAGGTTTTAATTAATAATCTTGTTTCCAGAAACACTTAATCAAATAAAAACATTGCCTGATGTAGGCAAAGAAGCAGTACAGCAGACTATTATGCTATGTGCACAGTCTAGCATGCAAATATAGGAGGAGGTGAGAGGGGATGGTAACTGAGATGCTGTTTTCAGGGCTTCTTGTAAGAGAAGACCTCTCAGACCTTACACCTTATTTTTTGTCTCATCTTTCTACATCCCCGTCAGCAATTTAGCTGTGTTGGAGCTAAACAGAATAGCACTGTACATCTATTTGAGCAGTTCTTTTTACATTTGGATTAGTATTTAAAAGAGGTGGCTTTAGAGAAATGCATTATTTATGGGCTCCTTTTGCAGTAAATGGAAGCAGAAGGGCTCCTACAGACTGTGGTTCAGGATGAGCACTTAATTTAAGTTCTTTAAAATTGTACTTGGAAAAAACTTATCTTCATCCATAGACTTGAAAGGGGACACGAGGGACCATTAGGGTAAGGTTAGCCTCTGTTAATGCTTTCCCCTCCATGCTGCCCTAACGAAATTCCACAAATATGTTTTTGTCCCATCTGTGATGGGAGAACCATTAGAACTGCTTGTTCCAAGGCTGAGCTACAACCTTGTGTTAGAAGCTCTGTTAACGTACTAGTTACTACCTGCTGCTATAAATATGCTTTATGTAGGCCTTGAGTCTGCTTTATTCACTAAGCTATATTGCTATGGTTAATTATCAACAGGGGTGTAGGACAGAAGTTGAAAAAGGGGAATTAGACATCAGTGCTTCCTTACAATTAAATTTATTTTAAATGTATTTTAATCAGGGGAATTATAGTATGTCTGTAATTTTTCTTACTAGCTATGGTAACAACAACAAATTCCAAACATCTCCTAACGTAGTCACTGTCTCCTGCCTAACTTAACCTCCTCGTAAGTGTTAAACAGGGAAGGGGACATTAGTAACCCCACATTACACTTTACCTTGACATCTTTGTTTCCCACTCAAGAGTTAGATGAATAAGAGATACTTTTGTGGGCTTTATTTTGAACAAGAAATATTCCAGAAACAATTTAAATTCAAACTTAATTTAAAATTGAAACAATTAAACTTAAGCGGTATTTTTCAGGTGTTTTCATTTCAAAGAA